TCAATGTACATTAAGGCATGAAGTTACTGGTAACGCTAGTAATAAAGCGCTATGATGACCATAAAGCTACTTAATGACCGACCGTTATCGTGCGGAGTGACTTTAGGTCTCCTGGCCGTCGAGTGGTTGGATCTTGGTCGAGTGATTGCTTCTTGGTCGAGTGTCTTCGAGTCTGTCGAGTGGAACACCTCCAAGTCGATTGAAAGGTGATTTCTTCTAGAGATGTCCTCGGGTAGCGCAGTTAGGACAGGTCCATGACCCTACCCTAGGTACATAGCTTCATCAGGTAGTATGTGACTTATGCGTTGTGCGCTGTCTCCTACTGGATTGATACCTTGGTTCTCAAAAACTGAGGGAAATACTTACGCTACATTTCTGCATCACCATTTCCTCTTTAAGGGAAAACCAACGCATGCTCAAGAGGTAGCAGCAGCGGACGTGCAAAAGGCGGGGTGGCGTCCATGGAGAGCAGCGCAAGGTGTTGTTAGGAAGAGGAGGCGATGCAGCAACGCAGCGGCGGAAGGTGGTCGTGCAAGCAAGATCGGGTACATGTGGAGTAGGTGTTAGAGGAGAGGAAACGCAGGGGCACGACACAGGAAGGGCCGCGACGAGGGGGTTCCTGCAGAGGACACCTATCATGTATGTTATGCTGTGTACCAGACCTGATGTGTGCCTTGCCATAAGTTTGGCAGGGACGTACCAAAGTAATCCAGGAGTGGATCACTGGACAATGGTCAAGAACATCCTGAAGTACCTGAAAAGGACAAAGGATATGTTTCTCGTTTATGGAGGTGACGAAGAGCTCGTCGTAAATGGTTATGTCGATACTAGCTTCGACACTGATCCAAGTGACTCTAAGTCACAAACCGGATACATTTTTATATTGAATGGTGGAGGTGTTAGTTGGTGCAGTTCCAAGCAGAGCATCGTGGCGGGATCTACGTGTGAAGCAGAGTACATAGCTGTTTCGGAAGTAGATCATGAAGGAGTCTGGATGAAGGAGTTCATATCCGATCTGGGTGTAATACCCAGTGCATCGGGTCCAATGAAAATCTTTTGTGACAACACTGAAGCAATTACCTTGCAAAGGAATCCAGGTTTCACAAGAGAACCAAACACATCAAGAGACGCTTCAACTCCATTCGTGAAAAGGTCAGGGATGGAGACATAGAAGTTTGCAAAATACATCCGGATATGAATGTAGCAGACCCGTTGACTAAGCCTCTTCCATGAGCAAAACATGATCAACACCAAAACACCATGGGTGTTAGATTCATTATAATGTAATCTAGATTATTGACTCTAGTGCAAGTGGGAGACTGAAGGAAATATGCCCTAGAGGCAATAATAAAGTTGTTATTTTATATTTCCTTATTCATGATAAAGGTTTATTATTCATGCTAGAATTGTATTGATCAGAAACTTAAATACATGTGTGAATACATAAACAAATACCGTGTTCCTAGCAAGCCTCTACTAGACTAGCTCGTAGATCAAAGATGATTAAGGTCTCCTAACCATGGACATGTGTTGTCATTTGATAACGGGATCACATCATTAAGAGAATGATGTGATGAACAAGGCCCATCCGTTAGCTTAGCATAATGATTGTTCAGTTTATTACTATTCCTTTCTTCATGTCAAGTACATATTCCTCTGACTATGAGATTATACAACTCCCGGATACCGGAGGAATACCTTGTGTGCTATCAAACGTCACAACATAACTGGGTGATCATAAAGATGCTCTACATGTATCTTCGAAGGTGTTTGTTGAGTTGGCATAGATCGAGATTAGGATTTGTCACTCTGAGTATCGGAGAGGTATCTCTGGGCCCTCTTGGTAATACACATCACAAGCTTGCAAGCAAATGATTAAGGATTTAGTTACGAGATGATGTATTTTGGAACGAGTAAAGAGACTTTTCGGTAACAAGATTGAACTAGATATGAAGATACCGACGATCGAATCTCGGGCAAGTAACATACCGATGGACAAGGGGAATTACGTGTGTTGTCATAACGGTTCAACTGATAAAGATCTTCGTAGAATATGTAGGAGCCAATATGGGCATCCAGGTTCCGCTATTGGTTATTGACCGGATAGGTGTCTCAGTCATGTCTACATAGTTCTCGAACCCGTAGGGTCCGCACGCTTAACGTTCGTTGACGATATAGTGTTATATGAGTTATATGATTTGGTGACCGAATGATGTTCGGAGTCCTGGATGAGATCACGGACATGACGAGGAGTCTCAAAATAGTCGAGAGGTAAAGATTGATATATAGGACGATGGTATTTGGATGCCGGAAGTGTTCCGGGACGTATCGAAAAGAAATCGGGTCACCGGAAGGGGTTCCGGGCACCCCTTGGGAAGATATGGGCCTTATGGGCCAAAGAAGGGGATAGACCAACCCACAAGGGGGCTGGTGCGCCCCTCCCCTGGCTGGCCGGCCCTAAGAGGAAGGAAAGGGGAGGGGTGCCCCCTCCTGCCTTTCCCTCCTCGAGAAAGAAAGGAAAGGGGGCGCCACCTCCTCCTTCCTTCCTCCCGCGCCCCAAATAAGGAAAGGGGGCGCGGCTTGGGAGAGACCCCAAGTAGGATGCCCCCTTGGCTGCTCCTCCCTCCCTCTCACCTATATATATGTGGGAGGGGGGCGCCTAGCACACAATAGACAATTGCTTAGCCGTGTGCAGCGCCCTCCTTCACCGTTTACACCCCCGGTCATATTTTTGTATTGCTTAGACGAAACCCTGCGGATATCACTTCATCATCACCGTCACCACGACGTCGTGCTGTCAGAACTCATCCACTACCTCACCGTCTCGCTATATCAAGAAGGCGAAGGATGTCATCGAGCTGAACGTGTGCAGAACGCGGAGGTGTTGTACGTTTGGTACTTGATCGGTTGAAGCGTGAAGAAGTTCAACTACATCAACCGCGTTAACAAATGCTTCCGCTTACGGTCTACGAGGGTACGTAGACACACTCTCCCTCTCTCGTTGCTATGCACCTCCATGAATAGATCTTGCGCGCGCGTAGAATTTTTTTTTCATTTTTCATGCAACATTTTCCAACAATGGCATGATAGCTGAGTTGGCATGCGTGCATGTCAAGATAAATAGAGTAGTGAAGATGACTCTTTCCCCGCATGTTGCTACGGTAACTTTGTTAAAAATGCATAAGTAGTTGCTAAAAATAACTAACAAATAAAAATAAAGTATAAGCTTGAAAATCAATAAAAGAAAGTGGCTAAAAATAAAATAAAAACTTTTGAATTATAGTTAGAAATGTCACCTCGAAGAAAAATGTGAAGGATGACATACTAATGCAAAAATAGTAATTTATAAATTAAATGCATGACTCACTTATGTGACAGATTTTGTATGGCTTAGTGGGAAAGAAGATTCAAATGCATTGCTTAGTGGGACGTTGAGTTGGACAGTTTACACGTCGAGAGAATTGTGACCAACTTCTTAAGAATGTAAGATTAACACCTTCAATCATCCCAATCTTTAAAAACTATTCGCCTACCTTCTACTTTTAAATAGATGAATTAATTCCTCCAACGCATAGGTTCCTAATAGCTCTAGCTGTAAAAACCAACAAACAAACACAAGCCATCAGAAGGCATACTATTATGTAATAAAATAGAAGAATAAAATCATCATCCAAGTAGTCCTAGCAACAAAACTTATGAGGTAGCTATGAATTTACTCGGTCTAAATTAAAGTGGAACATATCAGAGATGGCATGCACTTCAAAGTTATATATAATGGTCTACAAGTATTGGTAGCTTTAATATATAATATATTGATAATACCCGGTATTACTGATATTCACCGAGACCTTTCCGGTGACCCCGTAACACTTTCGGACCCTCTCGAAACTATTTCAAATATTAATGAAATAATTTCGCAAACATATTCTCATGATTCCCGTCCTACTAAAATTCAGCAATTCAGCGTATCATGATTGCCTTAATCTTGTGACCTCGTAGGTTCGGTAACTCACAGATATGTATGAAACCGTTCGTCCAATAACCGACAGCAGGACCGTGAACGTCCATATCAATTCTTATGAGACCGACAGCGGGACCGTGGACGTCCATGTCAATCCTGATGAGCACACGAATGATATTAGAGTGAATCTTTGGTTATCATGTGATGTTTCTTTTCCTTTGTGATACTTCAAAAAACCTCGGATGTATCGATATTCTCCTGAGTCACCATTATGCTCATTATACTGAAATTCTCGTTATCAGTTTTGTTCTTCTTTCTCGGACATCATGTGTAATGCCGTTTAACGGTTTTGTGATGGTGTTCACCGTGCTTTCTGTTAATTAACAGGACAATCCTGTTGCTTAATTAATAGCTGAACCAAATCTTTTGCGGCGGTTTCAAAAATAAATCACTTGGGTCACCTTGTCCGACCAATGGACACAACAGCTCCTATCACTCTACCCCTGCCTCATGCCAGTTACCGGAACGACGAGCATATTGGAGCAGTGCGCAGCATGCAGATCGCCCAACCAACCTACGACGGCAAGGGATCACGCCGGGAATCACACGAAACGCGCCTAGCTTTGGGGCCGTCCCGTCACCATTGCCCAGTACAGAAATGCAACCTGCACGCGCGAAAGGCGGAGCACGGCACCCGCCGTTGACGACCAGGGCCGTCGTCGTGCAGTGCACACACTATCGCAAGTTGGCACGCACCGGTGAGCGAAGACGCGCCGCACATCGTGCACACTACTCCCCCTCTGCTCCCGCAGGCTCAGCTCAGCTAGCTGCCCGCCACCACCAAGTCCAAGTGGAGAGCAATCAATCAGCAAGGCCGGACCGGACCCAGTTGCAATCACCCGCACGTCTGACTCTTCCACCCGATTCATTCCGCTTCGTTAATCGTTATCCAAGAAGAAAGGAGGGAGGGGATTAACACGAGTAGTAAGATCAAAAGCAAAAGACTCTACTGTACAAGGTTGATTCGTGTATCGCGGCGTCACTTCCACTCTCGGGCGTCGCAGGGGGAGCACCCCTCCAGCGCGACGTCGGCGATCTGCACCCCGGTGTCGTACACCCGGCCGGCGGCCCACCGCCGCGGGAGGACCTCCCCTTCGGCCCACACCCACTTCCCGTCGTACCCGCCGGTGACCACCATCCGGAGCTGCAGCGGCCCCGCGGGCGCCTGGCCCGTGCTCCACGCCGGCCCGCCGCGCTCCCGCGTCATGGACCGCCAGCTCGACGACCCGGCCGCCGCCACGTCCACCGCCACGATGTCCGTCTGCCCGCCCTGGTACAGGAACCGGATCGTCAGGCCGCCCGGCGGCGCGCGCTCCTCCACGCGCACCGACAGGTTGCGGCGGCGCGCGTACTCGCAGGGCACCCGCTTGTACTCCACGCTCACGGCGCGGCGCTCCCTCAGCCGCCGCGCGGCGGCCGTGCCCCCGCCGCCCAAGGCCATGGCCGCCTACGCCGCGCTGCCCAGCACGAGGTCGGTGCGGTTCGTGGCCGTGCCGCGCGCCTGGTCCGTCACGACCACCGTGGCGCCCGAGGCGCTGCAGAGCGCGGCGTCCGTGCACCGGACCTGGTAGCACGCGCCGCAGCCGACGCCCCCCCTGTACAGCGCGGGGCTCGCGGCGGCGAGGAGCCCGCCGTTGAAGGTCGCCGCCAGGGAGCCGTACCCGCAGGAGCCGGCTGCACGCACGCAGAGCGAAACTGAATCAGTCATCAATCAACCAAACCACGAACAACAAAACGTAACAAACGGAAGCGAAACGCACCATTGTCGAGGGCGGGCGAGGAGGCGCGGTACGCCGCCGTGGACCGGCGCACGCACCGGTCGCACGCCGAGGCCGGGGACGAGGCAGCGGCGAGGAAGACGAGCAGGAGGATGAAACGCGATCGAGCGCTCGCCATGGGGCAGACGGACACCATCGATCGAGCTTGAAGACGGGGGCGTTACTCGGAGTAGAAGATTGAACAGGACAGGACAGAACGGAGTAGGATGGATTCTTGCGAGCAGCTGGGCTGGAGCCAAGCTTTATACCCGACGCGGCGCGCACGCTGGTTGGCCGGTTGCGGTTTACGAGTTAACGGCGCTGGCCCTGGGTGCCGCCAGCCTCGAAACCGGACGGCCGCGGTCTCGTACCTGGGACACAGCAGCAGAATGCCGACGCGGTTGGGAGCAGTAGGGAGGAAGGAAAGCGCGCTGGCCACGTGGCCGTGAGGTGGATCCAGGGATGGGGGTGAAGTGCTGCGGCAAAAAGTTTGGGGTGGCCACCGACCCTGGAGACGCGTGCCGCAACCTGGGTGCGCCAGCGAGTGGTTCTTTGAACTGCTCGAAGTTGTACTAGGATAAACTCCGGTAAGGCTGGTTGTAACGGGGATATCATATGCTAGTATTATGCATACAATACTAGTGTATGATACTACCTTTCTAGTGTGTGATATCATATATTAGTATCATGTAGTACTTTATTTATTATCATGCATGATACATACTAGCCTAATATTTATTATAATACAGTATCATAATATGATACTCAATTCTTTCTTTCTTCATTTAATTCTATGACACATCATCAAATTTGACTAATTGGTATGCATGATACTATCTATAATACTCACATTACAACCAGCCTAACCACGTCCCATCGCCGGGCAGCCTGCCACGTGGCCAGGTAAGGGCATGTGTGAATGCTGTTTTGTGCACACGCGTGTGTTTCTTTACTTTCATATACACTGCCTCGAGAGGGTTTCCACTTGCTGTTACCTCGAAAGGGAATGCAGTAATTCCTGAGGAAACAATTAACTCCTTTGCCGATCAAGGAGGAGGCGTTTAAGAGCAAGCACAATAAATTAATATAAGCATGCTATAAGAGTTAAAATATTATTTTTTTGCTGACATGAAGTGAAGGAAAGAGAAGAGAAAGGAAAAGCCGACTATAGTACTTCCTCCGTTTTTATTTACTTCGCATATTAGAGTTGACTGAAGTCAAACTTCCTAAAGTTTGACCAAGTTTATAAAAAAAATACAAATATTTACCATCACAATTTTATACTATGTGGAAGTACATTTGATAATGAATCTAATGGTGTTGATTTCTTATTGTATATGTTAATATTTTTGTCTACAAACTTTGTCAAAGTTTATAAAGTTTGACTTTGACCAAAGCTAATATGCGGAGTAAATAAAAATGGAGGGAGTATATAAGAGCCAGCTACAGCACGTGCTTCTAGCCACTATTGAGAATAAAAAATGAGCCATAAAGTAATAAAGTAGCACATCTTTACATTTAACTGTATTGTACTTGCTGGCTATAAACTTGACTATAGATGATGTTAACTTTATATAGCCATTAGCTAACTGTACTATTAACCATGCTCTAACAGAGGTGACAGGGAAACGAGTGGGATTTGGGTTCCAGGGGATAAGGATCGAAGTGGCGGCTAGGCTTGCACGGTCTGAATAGGGGACGAGATCACGACCGATTTAAAGCGTTTCCTTGGGGCTTATCGCGAACCACGGCCGTGGACGGCGCCACCGCCCACTGCTGCTCTCGTCTCATCTCATCGGGCACCCGTTTGTGTGGACGCGGCCTTCACAAATCGTCCTACGTGGCAGGTCCATTGTGCTCCGATTGTTTACTGATTTAGTCCGCATCGGTCCTGATCTGGACACGTCAAGCGCCTCGCGTCCATCGCCATTCCGGATAACCACCAGTGCCTTGCACGTACGCAACGAATGGACTGGCCCAGCTCAATCAATAGTTCTTTGGTAGGGCCACGCCGCGAAAGGCATGTGCTTACCAAACAAGGGTCGGCTCACACGCCTGGTTTTGGTCCGGAGAGAGAGAACAAATTCTCTCGACTCTCTTTGTCTGGTGCAAACCGCTGGTGAGTTGCACTCGCATGGGTGCTCGCGGTTTCGTGCGCCCCTCCTCCTACTGCATGCCCTACGCCTACGGTCTTGTCAAATGGATGACACATTAATGCCAGCCAATCATGCTAATCCCATCATGATTGCCGTGGTCCATGGGTTTATGTCTTATCATGATTCTGGACGACGGGTCCCCCGATTCAACGAGAATAGACAAATTGGCGCGAAAGTGACCCGACTCTAACAGTTCTGATATCCCGCCCGAATGCTAAATTGGTTTCGTCTCTCCGTTGAGACGTCACCGGCTTAAGCAGTTTCTACCAGCACCTTGTGTTTCACTGGTTCCTGTGCGCACAGCACACAATAAGATGCCGATGCGCGTAAACTATCTGAGGACAACTGACCCGGTGAGAAGTGGGATTGCTCGAGACAACTTCTTGACGCAGCACTGGCATTGCAACGCGGCCGGCAAGCAGTACGTGGCGTAGCAGTAGCACCGTGGGTTGTGGCCGTCAGAATATAACTATCAGCACCTACATATCAATAAATAGTATTTGACCTTGACTTGGTCGGCGCTAGCACTTATCCCTCCGGTTCTGACTCGACATCGCGCACACGGCAGCGGAATCCCGCGTCAGCCACTGATGAATCCCAACGGCCTTCCCTCCAACCACAGCGGCACCACCGGCGCCCGGTTCTGGACTGGCAGTGGTTGCACTTGCACTTGCGACAGTACCACGAGCCCCGGGCCGGCTGTGTGATCTGACCTGGTCAGTCGACCGAACCTTAAACAAGCCCGTTGACACGACGCGCAGTTAAGGCCCAAGCCACTACCTGAATCCCGAATCTCCCGTGCATTCAACATGCTCTGACTTTGCAAATGAGGATGCATGGGGGTGGAGGCCTGCCGCTTCCTGGCGGAGGTTGATTACCCTCGAACTTGATCACTTGGTGCCACTGCCCACCGGGCACCGGCACCGGCACCAGTTTTCCATTGCCCATTCTTTTCTCTGGACGCAGTAGGTTTCGCTTCTTCTCCCTTGGGCTCCAAGCTTTGCACGGCGGCGGAGGACACGTTTTCCCTCGGCTCCCATATCGGCCTGCTGCATGCGCTGCAGCGTGGCGTCCTGTGCTGGCGGCACTGTGGACTGCGGCGGGTCAGTTGACGCTGCGGTTCGCATGTCCACTTCGTGGCCGTGGGTCGCTTGCTTGCATTCGTCTGCAAGGGAGGCAGCCTGCCCTCCCTGCCACCGATGACATCGACACAGGTGCGGAGACACGTAGTGTACTCTGCTCTCGGAAGCGGTACCCCTGTGAAGCATCAACTCTTTCAGAGACAGATCAAGCAAAGCTTTACTGGGAGCTCTCAACTATATATTACTCCGTTTTCTTTTTTTTTTGCGGGTAATATTACTCCGTTCTCAAATATAAGTCTTTCTAGAAATTCCTACAAATGACTACATTCGGAACAAAATGAGTGAATCTACGTTTTAAAATATGTCTACATACATCCGTTTGTTGTAGTCCATTTAAAATGTCTAAAAAGACTTATATTTAGGAACGGAGGGAGTAAAACATAAACCATGTAATTGGTACTCCCTCAGTTCCATAATAAATGTGACGGATGGAGTAGCATGCATTACGGTCGTTCTCCAGTTGATTCAGTAGTGAATCTAGCGAGCTTTCTGTGCAGCAGTTTCTTTTTATCCTTTTTGGCAGCAAATGGACTTCATTAACTAGCAAGCAGGGTTGCGTCATGAACCAAGACTGGTACTACAAGAAAATCTGGTGGATCCTGTAGCCAGGAACTGCTCCTGTTTGCCCCCTACCTCCCTCAGCTGATCACAAATGGAAAGCAGAATCAACATTCAGCTTGGTAGACCTTGCCAGAGCTTATGTGCCACTGTTAGTGAGCGTCCTTGTAGCTTTCCTGCTCGTTTCTTGTTAGTTGTAACCGCCTGACTGATCATTGCTCGGCGGGTGCTTTTCAATAGTCCGCAACACGCATCAACATTTTCCTCCACTTTACCTGCATCGGCAGTACCTTCAAAATCACTGCTACTCTCCATCTTGAAGTTCTGTCACAAAAAGGGGGAAACCTGAAAGAAAGGTGGAAAACATGTGGCCCTGGGCCATGTAAGCTACACCGGCGAGAAGGGCAAGTGAAGGCCAAGTCATTCGAAAGGCAAAGTGCATGATTGTTTGTCAAACATCAGGATTAGTAGTAATTATAGCAGACTAAGTATCTAGACTCTAGAGTGATGTTTGAGACACTGAATGCAGGCATGCAACTAAATTTCAATCACTGAAATATCTACCCCGGCATAAGTATGAGGCGCCTGATATCTACTACTAGATGATACCCTGTGCGTTGTTACTGGAAAGGGTTGCAATATACTCCCTCCGTTCGGAATTAGTTGTCGCAGAAATGAATGTATCTAGATGTATTTTAGTTCTAAATACATCCATTTCTGAGACAAGTAATTCGGAACGGAGGGAGTATTTCAATGATATTCAGTTGTCTTAGCACTGCATATATGAAGAATCATCCTCACCAATGTTGAAGTAACACATTATCTATAGAAGTTGTCTATGAAAGGGAGCTATGTTCCGTTAGGAACTTGGAATCGATACAAATAACCTCCATGATTAATTTGAACCTGCATTAATGGCAAAATGGCCATCTTTAAATTGCAACTATGTATGACAAAAAATGTGGAATGGACTTAATAACTGCAATCATATGTATCTGATGGAAATATTATAACAAAACTAAGTGAAATGTTTTTTTAGTCAAACTAACTGAATCTTGTTTCGGCTGTGAAACATGACGTATCGCAAAGCATGGGAACAACTGTGCTAAACACTAAATTTTCACAGAGCATCTCCAACAAATTAGTGGAAAAAATCATCAATTTAGTTATGGCGTCTCACTAACAAATGATGGATGAGTTACCTTTGTCATATCAGACAGATAACTATCCTTGACCGTCAGTGTTAATTGCATCTGAAGTGCTTGGGAAGTGTTCCCTCTGCATGGATACAAACCAATCAT